CATCACGCGGGCGACAAGACCATGACACCCCCCAGGGATCAGCAGGCGGACCAGGAGGCGCCGGTGGCGATAAACGGGGAGGAGGAGGAGGGGGGAGGGGAGAAGGTACCGGCGGCGGCGGCGGCAGAGACCGAGGCCCCACAGGGGGGGGCGGCGGCGGCACCACAGGAGGCTGCAAGGGCGGCTGAGATTGAGGAAGGGCAGACGGAGGACATAGGGAGGTCTGCGCCGGCTGAGAAGGAGGCCCCTGAGGCGGAGGATCCGGTGGGTGGGGAACCGGCGGCAGAGACGGCTGCTGAGCCGCAGGAGGCGGCTGAATTGGCGGAGGATGAGAGGTTAGCAGCGGCAGAGAAGGACTCGGCTGACACTGAGAGACCTGCAGCTGGGCCTGCGGCGTCTGAAGCGCTAGAAGAGAGGCCCACGTCGGCGGCGGCGGCGGCGGCAAGCAACTCGGGCCGGAAGAGGCAGACGGCACCACAAGCTCAGCCTCGGGCGGTGCCACCAATGGAGAGGACAACAGTGCCGCCGGCGCTGACAAAGGCTGCTGCTGTGACGAAGAAGAAGAAGCCAGCGACGGCAACGATCGAGGCGGTAGGGGCTGCGTCGATGGTTGCGATTGAGGCGCCAGTGGCACCTGTGACCGTGGGGCCTGAACCAAGGATCGCGCGGAATGCGGGGCAAGCAACGGAGATGGCCGGGGAGGGCGGCGGTGGCGGAAGGATTGGCCCCGGGCCCTTAGATGCGGATGAGTCCGCCCGCGGGGAGACTGATAAATCGGCTCACGAGGCGCAGACGAACCAACGCGCGCTTGAGAAGAACCGCCGCCAGAAGCCGCGGCCGCAACAACATCAACGGCGGCTCGGAGAAGGGCTGGCACCCGCCCGACCTGGGCCCCTTGTGGGTTGGACGCATCAGGCGGATCCGCCCCAGGCAGTCGCCGAGGTGGAGGGCGGCGCCGACCAGTCATCACCGCTGATGTTCGCGGGAGAAGAGGCAGAGGCGCAGGAGGAGAGGGAGAACGCCGCCGAAGAGGCAGAGGAGAGGAGGGCCGCGGCGAGACGCAGCCGCCACCAAGGGGGAACGAACCGGCAGCAGGCCCTGCGAGAGCAGGCCAACCGGAGAGCTGAAGGTCGACCGCCGGAAACCGTGACGCCTGGAGCGGCAGCGCAAGGAGCGCGAGGGAGGGGCCGAGGCAGGGGAGGAGGCCTGGGAAACTTGGTACGAGCGGTAGCAAGGGAAAAGGCTAGATCGGGGGACTGGCGAGAAAGACACGGAAGGCCTCTGCGGACGGGCACAAGACAGAACGCAAGCTCAATGAGGGGAGAGGATGAAGGAAGTGACGGGGAATATATCGAATCCGAGGAGAGGGATTCTGAAGATATCTCCCTCGACGCAGAGGAGGGGATCCCGAACACAGGCGCAAACCAGGGACAGAGGAGGCCGCGTGGCCCACAACCAGCCTAGGGGGACGAATCAAGTGCACAGGCTAGCGCGAGGGCAGCAAATAGAGAGCGCTCAGCAGCAGATATCGCGGATGATGAGGCCACGTGGCAGAAGGTGAAGGAGTGGGACCTGTCACCTCTACGCAACAGTGCCCAGCCCTTCCTGGCTCGGAAGTTTCCCCCCAACATTCTCGGAATCTACAGCTACTGCCTCACGATTCCCCTGCTGCGGCTTTCCAAGAACCCGACCTGCCAAGGAGCCTGGCGAATGTTGCTATTCCTGCCTCGACTCACACTGAGAGCTAACATTGGGAACGCACCTGGAAACAGGTGGAGCGAGGTGGCGACAAGGCTGGACCAGTTCAAGTTGGAAAAGTGGGACCTACTGTACTCCAAGGCCTGCACCATACCCCAGAACTCCCAACCGAGTCGTCACCAGCCGGACCCAGAGGGCATCTGCGCGAGGGCGGAGGGGCTCGTGCGCAAGGCGAATCTCGCAAAAGCAGCAGCAGCGTTACAAACTTCGCCACTCGCAGAACCATCAAATGCGACCTTGGAAGCACTAAAAGCGAAGCACCCTGGGGCAGGGAGCGAAACCCGGAACTGGGTAACAGGATTCGCCTCCAGCAACCTCGCAACGTCAGCAGAGACATTTCGCGAAGTACTGGCGAAATGCCCCAATGGAATAGGAGCAGGACCCTCAGGCACCTGCTTCGAGCACCTCAGAGACCCCGCGCTCACCAACAATGAAGTTTGCTCTTACCTGCACGGCGTCGTCAACCACGTCCTTAGGGGTCAGACCCATAGCCATAGGAGAAGCGATACTACGACTCACAGCCAAGGCAGCGCTTAGGGAACTAAGCACGCCCATCCGAGATTACTTCCTCCCGGTACAATTCGGAGTGACAGTACCTGGAGGAGCCGAATGTATTATTCACACGGTGCGGGCGCTCTTAGATTAGGATCCGAAGCGAGTGGCGCTGCAGTTAGATATCGAAAACGCCTTTAACTCGGTTGAACGCGCCGGCTTTTTCGAATCACTGCATTTCTCCAGACTCAGCCGCGTCATACCACTAGTGCGTACGCTGTACGGCACACCCTCCTGCCTACTACTGGATCACGGCTTCGCGGAGCCACACATCGAGAGCGCACGCGGGGTCCGTCAGGGAGATCTACTAGGCCCCATGCTCTTCGCGACAGCTATTCAACCGGCGCTCCAGGTGGCATCTGACATTTTCCCGACGGTCACAGTCATGGCCTACGTAGATGACATTACAATCGTTGGGACGGCGCAGGAAGCGGCACTCACCTTGGGGATCATCACCAGGCAACTCGCCGGCCGCGGCCTCAAATGCAACCTCGCGAAATCATCTACCTGGAGCCCATCAGGCATACCGGACGACCTTCCTGACGGCCTGGTAGCAACAGTAGACGACATACGCGTCTTGGGGAGCCCCATAGGAACAAAGGAATACGGGAGGCGCATGATCACAGCTTCCCTAGACGCGGTGGCAGCCCCCCTCGACCTTATCAACAGCATCCACCCGCAGCACGCCCTACTGTTACTGTCACGCTGCGTATCCAGGCGCATCTCGTATCTACTTCGGACAACACCGGCAGACATGCTGCCCCTAGAAGAATGGCGGGAGTGGAGCGAAGGAGTGGTGTAGACGGCGCTCAAAGCGGCACACCTGCACGTGCCGAGGAAGGAGATCGAACAGAGCCTGGTGTGGAGGCAGGCGATCCTTCCAATATGCCTCGGCAGGCTGGGCCTCATAGATCTGGTCTCGAAAGCACCCGCAGCCTACCTGGCATCCCTATGCGCGGCCCACACCTTACTGAGTGGCCTCCCTGAGCACCCAGACCACCCCCTGCGACGGGCTGCAGACCTGGTATCTACAGAACGCATCGAGGTGTCGGCACGGGGAGGGGAGACCCTGCAGGACCTTAAAAGCAAGTTACCAGAAAAGGCACTGGAACTCCTACATGAGCACCACCGTCAGAGGGGGGGGAAAGGGCGGCTGCAGTTGGGGCTATCCTGCGAGGTTAACTTGGACAGGGCAGCGGAGCTGATAGGAGACACCCGGGTTGACAAGCCGGGCAAGAACAACGGGCACGTGGTGCGGCTCATAGCCTTGCAGGCGCCAGGGGCAGGAGACTGGCTGCATGCCATACCCGCGCGAGCGGACCTGACCTTCTCGCCCGGGCAATTCGCCATAGCCCTAGGCTTCAGGCTCGGCCTTTCCCTTCCAGTCACAGAAAACTGCCCCTGCCGCGGCAAGCGCTCCAAGATAGCAGACAGCAGCCTGCCGAATCACCTACTGAGATGCGCGGATGGAGGGGACCGCACCAACACCCACAACGCGCTGGTGTACGCGGCACTACGCATGGCACGTGAAGCAGATTTCACTACCTTGCACGAGACGACAGGATTTTCGCCCCCAGTCAACCCTAAACGGGCGGACCTGGTCTTCCGTGACAGGGAGTCGGGTGAAACCTACCTCACAGACGTGACGGTGACCGACCCAGTGCTGCAGAGGCGGGATACCCAAGGGAGAAAGGCGCCAGGGTGGGCAGCAGAGGACGCTGCCAGGACCAAAAGGGGGCTGTATGAGGAGCGCCCCGAGTTTGCGGGGGTCCTGGGCCTGGCTGTGGAAACCTACGGGGGACTAGCAAGAGACACACAGAAATTCTTCCGCATTTTAGGCACAAGTGCGGCCAAGAAGAAGCACCGCCAAGGGAGGCTCACCACGGTGGCCTCCAGGCTGACGGCGCACTACCGACAACGGTGGTCGGTAATGCTGCAGCGCTGCCAAGCCAACGCCATGCTGGCAAAGTCCAATAGGGCGGCGGAGGCAGCATACCCCCAGGCCTGGGCTGACCCTTGGGAGCCAGGCCTGGGGGACATATGGCAGGTCCTGGAAGATGAGGTGGAGGAAGTGTGGGACCTGGGAGTCTAGAAGGCTGGAGAGAAGGAGCCGGGTCAAGACCAAGGCCGCCTGAGCCACCATGGGGACCTAGTGATAGGTGCTTGCATGCCTAGGCGGCCATGTACCAAGGAAGGTGGGAATAGTACAAGCAATGCATGCCAGGATTGCCTATGCTTCTAGGGCAGCATGTTTGCCAAACTACTCAGGCCATGCTTGTATCCTATGACCATTATCAATACAGGACTGCTTGAGAGAGAGAGAGAGAGAGAGAGAGAGAGAGAGAGAGAGAGAGAGAGAGAGAGAGAGAGAGAGAGAGAGAGAGAGGGGGGGGGGGGGGGGGGGGGGGGGGGGAAGCAAGCAATCAAGTGGAGGTGCCATGCCATAGGAGCATCATCCACCACATCATTCACAGCTTCCTTCCCCATCATCAAACTCAAACACTCTCCCTTTTGAGTCAACTCAAAAGTCCCTTCACGCCCTCCCCGCTTCCGTCCTCCCCCTCTCCTCCCTCTTCGCCTTCCCCCATTCCACCTCCTCCCCTCCTTCCCTCCTCCCATCCTCCCATCATCCCCTCCTTCCCTCCTCCCATACTCCCCTCAATCCCTCCTCCCCTTCTTTCCCCCCGCACCTCTCTGCTTCTCCAGCTCCATCCAGTCCGACGTGGCGTGTCTGGCGGCGCGACGCGCTTTCACGGTTCCCGCTTCGTGGATCGCCCCGCCGTACAGCAGCAGCTTCTCCGTCTGCGCACGCCGCAACGAGGGGGGGGGGAGACGACGGGGAGCGGGAGGCGTGGGGGGTGGTGGAGAGGGGGAGAAAGGGGGAAGAAACAGGGGGAACGGGAAGGGGGGAGGAGAAAGGAGGGAGCGGGAGGGGGGGGGGGGGAGAAAGGGGTGAGCGTGAAGGGGGGAGGAGTCGCTCCCTCGTATAGCAGCAACTTCTTCGGCACTAGCAGGAGCGGGATCGCAAAATAAGCGGGAAGACGCAATATGGAGCAGCCTGTCCGCGTCCTACCAGCGTCGTCTTTCCCGCATCAGGATGCGAAATGATGGCGAAGTTACGACGCTTCGCCACCTCCTTCGCCAGCGCCTCAGGGCTAATCTCCATCGCCGCGCCTCCCTCCTCCTCCTCCCCGGACGAAACCGTCCCACTCTTCTTCCGCGCGCTCTTCCGCCGAAACCCCCGCGCGCCTGCTTCTTCCGCCGACTCCACTTCGCCGTCGCTCCATTCCCCAGCGCTCACCTCCCCGTCACTCTCGATATCGCTTTCCACCGAGGATTCAGAATCTGACCGTTGCGGTTCGTCTACGGCAAAATCTAGCACCTCTCGCTCAGTGACGTCAGCAGCCTCATCCACGGGCGCGACTGCTGGCGACGCGGCAGAAATGGGGGAAAGCCGCGCGCGGGAGGGGTTTCCGCTGGGAACAGCCCCGTTAGAGGCGGCTCCGCTGCAACGCACAGATAGCGCGTGTCGTTGACGAAGGTGTGCGGAAGGAACGCCTGAGTGAGGACGCGCAAGGTGCGGCGATGACGCGCCGTGCATAACGTGCTGGCATGCGGGAGAGGGAGACGCAAGGTGAGGGAGGAGACTGCCACGTGGGCAGCGCGCTGCAGTGGCCGCCATTCCGAGGGTGTCGCAAAAGCGTCTGTTGGTAAAAGTTACTAGCTGTCGCCTCGACTGCTGGCCCCACTCCTCGTGTGACTGACGGCTCGTGAATGCGTGAATCACGGGGTCAGTACTGGAATGCTAGCACGGGAAAAAGGTGGAGTTTGAAACCCAAGTGAGCTTTTGGTGGTGGGTGCTGGCGGTTTGTGTGGGTGGAGGGTGGTTCGTTCAGAACCACACGTTCTGTCACGCCTAGCCGTTCGTCAGAATCGGGGGTTCAGCCGGAGTGTGGTGCTTTCTGTTGTCTGTGTGATAAAAATAAGTTTCCGGGATAGTGTAATGCGAGTGTACAGTGCACACAAAAGGAGAACCTTTATCCATTATTTCTCTGTCATCAAAGCCGTATTCGATTGCTTACCAGAGTTCTAAATACCAGACTTTTAGAACCCCTAAAACGGTTGACACATGACAGAAAGCCTTACGGACACCTTGACGCGAAGTTGATTTCGTTTCAAGTTGCGCACCAAACAGCACCAAGAACGAGACCCTGGTGTTCGGGCCCCCGAAAGGAGATCATTGCTGCCACGTAGCGCTTTGCACTACAATTGAAGGTCGACATTTTCTGAGGGCAGCCGTCAACTGCCACGAGGTCCATTCACGCGTGGGCTAGGCGAGTCTCTGCCACGTTGCCAAACCCGATCAATATACGCGATTGTAGCAGTCACGTGTAAATAAACAGCCAACCTCTTGTAATCTCATGCAGTACAAAATAGGGTTGAAAAGTTCCGTGTGTCCGAAGCTATCACCATCAGGCACGGACCTCTGTTGGCGCTACTTGTCTCTCCCCTTCGTCTATGCACTGCACTCCAATCCAATTTCTGGTCTCTCTGCTCCGCCCTGCTTTCTCTCCGAGCTTCATGAATGAAGATTTCGTGTCCATGAAGCTGTGATCGCTGATTGTGTTCTCGCAAGTGCTGGTCAAATTCCTGGAGGCGCCACTTCTGGAACTAGGACCAGAACCGACATATCTCCACCGTTGTGCAAAGCGTAATACCTCTAGGTGAACGAAAAGCGTTGCCTTTCGTGCCTCTCGAATCCCATGCGTCCCGCAATGTCGACCCCTCCACCAGCCCCTTTCACCCACGACTCGCGTCTTCGCAAATCGGGGCAATGTTCGCCAGATAGCATGGTTACCACAGAGGTCCCTTCGCAACGGCGTTCCGTTTCAGAATCACCTGGAGAAGCGCTCGCGGAAGAAATCACAGCCTTGGTGCACTCACAGGTCCAGGGAGCGGTTGTCACCGATGTCTTTCAGCAAGGGGAATGGAAGAGTATTAGGATGGATAAGGTACACGTGAAGCGATGCTCTGTGACAGCCGGACAAGGTGGAGTGGCTTCAGAGGAGGCTTTTGCGTGGATTCGAGACTTGGCAAGAGAGGAGATGGAGGGTTCGAGGCTGCAGCAGATGCGACGACTGAAAGGGTCGCAGGACTTGCAAGAGTCGCAAGAGTCGCAAGGGTTGCAAGGGTCGCAAGATAAGGCGCACGTGAAGGCCGAGGCGAACGGGCGGAAGTCTGAGTCCGAGCCTGCAGAGCTTCGATCCGAGCCTGCGGGGACACAGTTTGATTTTGATTTTGCGGAGTTTCGATCCGGACGTGCAGAGCAGCGACACAAGCCTTTCGAGCCCCCGTCTGAGCCTGTGGATCGAATCTCCGAACTGGTAGAGTTCCGTTTTGAGCCAGCTGAGCTCCAAACCGAGCAAGCTGAGCTCCGTTCCGAGCCTGCTGAGGTGCGATCCGAGCCTGCTGAGGTCCGATCCGAGCCTGCTGAGGTCCGATCCGAGTCTGCTGAGGCCCGATCCGAGCCTGCTGAGCTCCAATCCGAGCCTGCTGAGCTCCGATCCGAGCCTGGTGAGCAAGCACAGGGGCTAACCTCGATATCGGAAGGGGATGTGTTACAGGCGAATGGTTCTTGTACAGGACTTCCACCCCAGGTGGAAGCTCAGGTGGAAGATTCATCAAGTGCCCAGGTGGACCGTCAGGTTCAGAGCCAGCAGAGCAAGGTGAGCCAGCAGCATGTGCTGCAGCAGCAGCAGCAGCAGCAGCAGCAGCAGCAGCAGCAGCAGCAGCAGCAGCAGCAGCAGCAGCAGCAGCAGCAGCAGCAGCAGCAGCAGCAGCAGCAGCAGCAGCAGCAGCAGCAGCAGCAGCAGCAGCAACAGCAGCAGGAGCAGCAGCAGCCGGAGCATAGGCAGCTTGGGCAGGTGCCAGACCAGGGGCAATTGTACAAGCCTTTCCTTTTTCAGATTCAACAGTCTAGTGGGAACTTTAATTTGCAGCAGCAGCTGCACCTACAGGCTCCGCCGCTGTCGCAGGAGGAGGAGGAGCAGAAGCAGCAGCAGCAGAAGCAGCAGCAGCAACAACAACAACAGGAGCATCTAATGTACATTTATGGGAACGGGAATCATTCTGACCATCATCCTCCTCCTCCTCATCCCCATGTACATACCACATCTTTCTCTCACCTCCCTTTTCCCTATCTCTTCCAACACCTGCAGCAGCATCAACTGCCAGCATCGCTGCCTGTGACCCTCCCACTCCACCAGCACCATGTTCACCAACAGTTCTACCAGCAGCAGCAGCAGTGTATTCAGCAGCCCAGCAACCATGCAACCACGCTCAGCCACACAGCATACCACGATCCACCATGCAGCTTCAAGTTCAACAGCACCAGCACCAGCAGCTTTAACAGCATCGGGAGCACCAGCACCACCACCGGCAGCAGCAGCAACAGCACCACCAGCAGCGGCAGCGGCCACACGTTGGGCGTGTTCTGGGACATTGAGAATTGCTCCGTGCCGTCTGACGTGCGCCCTGTGGACGTTGCATGCCGAGTGCGTGCTGGCCTCGCCTCGCATCCCGCCACCGCTGCCGCCCGCATCACCAGTCAGTTCTCCTGCCCTGCATCGCCCTCGCATCGTCTTTACATTTGGCTCATAACCTTCTTTTGTCTCTTCTTCTCTTCGCTGCGTCCTTCACTCCACTTCTATCCTTCCGTTTCTTTCCGTCCATTCGTTGCCCTCCCCCTTTACTTGACCCTCTCTGGGACTGTTTCGCATCTCCGTGGCTGCCTTGCTAGCAAGCTGACGCACCCTTCCACGAGACAACCTCCCTTTTCTTCCTCCATTCTATCTTCCCCTCATTACTCCCCCCCTCTCCCCTCCCCTTTCCTCCCCGCCCCGCCCCTCCCCTGCCCACACCAGCCTTCACAGCATATGGCGACTTCGCTCTGATCCCCAGCCGCATCCGTGAGGCACTCCAGCGCACAGGCGTCACTCTCGCGGACGTGCCTAGCGGGCGTAAGGACGCCTCCGACAAAGCCATTCTCGCAGACCTCTTCCTCTTCGCTCTCGACCACCCTCCGCCCTCCTCCATCCTGCTCGTCTCTGGGGACGTGGATTTCGCCCCTGCGCTGCATAAGCTGCGGCAGAGGGGGTATGGAGTGCTGCTGCTGGCGCCGGTGTATGCACATGCGGGAGTTTCGGCGTCGCTGCTGTCGGGTGCGGGGTTTGTGTGGGATTGGCTGGCGCTGGTGCGCGGGCAGGGGCTTGTGCCGTTTGTGGGGTTGAAGGGGAGGCGGCGCGCGTCTGGTGGTGCTTCTGCTGCTGCCGCCGCTGGTGCCGCCGCTGCTGCTGCTGCTGCCGGTGCTGGTACAGGTGTTGCTGTGGGGGAGGAGATGGTGCAGGGCTGGAGGATGGGGCAGATGATGCAGGCTGGGGGAGAAGGCAGTTATTGCACTGGCGGTGGCAGTGGCAGTTCCGGTGGTGCTGGGGGGATGTTTGCAGGTGGGGGGATGTGGGGTCCTGGTGGTGTGGATGGGGGGCAATGGATGGGAACGAATGGGCTGGTTCAATGTCATTCCCAGCATCACCACCAGTTGCCTTTGCCGACGGTCCCAATGCCCTTCGCTGCCCCTCAGCTGCCTTGTTCTGATACTGGGGTTCTCTCACTTCCATCTGCTGCTGCTCCGCCTTCCTCCTCCTCCTCCTCCTCCTCCTCCTCTCCTCCTCCTCCTCCTCCTCCTCCTCCTCCTCCTCCTCCTCCTCCTCCTCCTCCTCCTCCTCCTCCTCCTCCTCCTCCTCCTCCTCCTCCACCTCCTCCCTTCCCTCCTCCTCCTCCTCCTCCTCCTCCTCCTCCTCCTCCTCCTCCTCCTCCTCCTCCTCCTCCTCCTCCTCCTCCTCCTCCTCCTCCTCCTCCTCCTCCTCCTCCTCCTCCTCCTCCTCCTCCTCCTCCTTTCCCTCCTCCCAGCCACATCCTCTACCACCTCTCAAACCTCTTCCCACTTCACAGTACCACCCAGCACCCCACTCAACCCCTAGTAACCCGGCCACTTGTCCCTCACAGCCTTTACACGGAAGCCTTTCCTCCAGTTCTTCTGGTGCAACAGCAGGCATGGATGGGGGAGTGGGGGGGGGAAATAGCGAAGAGGTGAGCGTGGAAAGTGGCAATAAGAGCAACGGGCACGACGCACCTGCGTCCACTCACACGTCCACTCAGACACTTACTGACACGCTAACTGGCACTCAGATGTGCAGCACTGCCTTGTCTACTGACGTGGTTGTGTCGACTGATTCTTTGGGTAAGTCGTCTGACATGATGGCAAGTAATCTCGCTGTACATACAACTGCTGCTTATTGTGCCAGAAGTGGGAGTGGGAGTGTTGTGAACTCCGGTATTTTTGCTGCACATGGTGCTGCTGCTGTCGCTGCTGCTGCCGATGTTGCGGCCGATGCTGTTGTTAAAGCCACAGTAACAGCTGCTGGTGATTCTGCATCTGCTGGTTCTGCTGTTGCTTCTGCTGTTGCTTCTGCTGCCATTTCTGCTGCTGGTGCTGCAGATGCGGCAAGCCAAGATTGCACTGCTATGGTGCCTGTCTCTGCCCCCCTTCCTCTACCTCTTCCACCCTCCTTTCCTAACTCAAGGGAAGCAGGGTTTATTCACGCTGCTGCTGACACTGACACACGTATCTTTGCCCATAATACAAGTGGCAATCCTGGAACAACAGCTTCGGACCTGTTTCACATCCCAAACAAGCTGAGTTTTCCCCTTTCCTCTGCTCCTCACGGACCTCACCCCCCGCCGCCGTTTACAAGCCAAAACATTGACCCATACTCGCCACACGCTCTCCTTCACCTCCCTCACTCTCACCACCCATCCCACATCCACCCACTCCCGTTCCCCTTCCCCTTCCCTCCTCACAACCACCACTTCCCCCCACCCCCTCCTCCTCCTCCCCTTCCCCTGCACCTCCCGGACATTTTCGCCCCGGCAAAAGCTGGGGACGTTTCGAATCTATCCCGCCGCCTGCGCCACCTGCTGCATCTGAACGGGGGGCGTATGAACCTAACTCGCGTTCCCTCGGAGTTCCGCCGAGTGTTTGGGCTGCGGCTGTGCTTGACTGAGTTCGGCGCAAACAAGATCGCGCAAGTTGTTGCGAAGATGGATGGGCGGGTGATTGGGGTTGAAGGGAGTGGAGTGAAGCGGTTTCTGGTGCTGAAGGAGGGGTCTGCAGGGGTTGGAGGCGGTGGAGAGGGTGCAGGGCATGTAGGAAACGCTGGGTATGCAGGGGAGGTGGGGTATGGAGGGGACAGGGTTAAGGGAGGTGATGGTGGTTTTGAAAGGAGCACAGGGAATGCAGGGGGGTTAGGGAGTGCGGGAGGCTCTTGGAAAGCACCTTTGCTGGTTCCTGTGTCTGTTCTGACTAGTGCTGCTGCTCCTGATGATGATGTGCGTGGGAAAGCGGGGAAGGGGAAAGGCAAGGGGAAGAAGACGGGGACGGGGATGGGGATGAAGATGATAAGAGGAGTAACGGCGGGTGATGCTGAGAGGAGGGAAGGTGCAGGAGTTGGCGTGGGACCAGGGGAAGAGGGGAGGGTGATCGGGGGAGAAGAGGGAGAGGTGGTTGTGGTGGTGGAGGGCGAGAGAGAGGGTGCTGCAAGAAACGAAGCAGTGGAGGAGGAAGGGAGGGGGGTTGAGGGGAAAATGTTTACAGATGGTGGCAGGAGAGGAAGGGAGGCGGAAGGAGCAGTTATTAGTACGGTGGGGGAGGGTGAGAGGCATGGGGTTTGGGATGCAGGAGTTGCTGAGAGGGCAGTTTTGCCTGTATGGGAGCCGTTTGCAGGGTTTGAGGACTTTAGTGGTGGTATAGTTGGTGGCACAGTTGGTGCAGCTGATATCACTGCTGGTGCGGCCCTGTGTGGATATGAGACAGTTGGTGTTCGTGCGGTGGCCGGCGTGTGTGCTGCGTTGGCGTGTGCGGGTAGCAGCAGTGCGGCCTTTCCGGACCTATTGACTGGAGACGAATGGGTTGGGGCGCAGCGAGAATCTTGTGACACAGATGCTGTACTTTTGGAGGAGGAGGGTTTGAGAGAAGCAGAAGCGCAGGCGAAGGCAGGGACGAAGTGCAAGGGAGGGGTTGAGACAGACGCAGGGCCGAGAAGGGCTGCATCAGAGGCAGGGGTGGAGGCAGTGACAGTGGTAGGAGGAGCAGTGCGGGGGATACGGGTGGAGGGGATGAGGCTTGGCTTGCCAAACCATGCACCTGCAGGTGCATCTGGTGGGTTGGTTAACCCAGGGTTACCTGGTAACTCGATTGTTCGTTCTGGTGTGTTCAGTGGCTTCTCCTTTTTACCCGTTTGGATGTGGAGGGGTGGAGGGGGAGGTGGAGGGAAAGTGCATGGTGTAGAGGGGTGTGGAGAGATTGCGGGTAGCGAGGCAAAGGGGGAGACAGAGAGGGGGAGTGGAAGCAGAAGAGGAGGCGGGGGCGAGAGTGGGAATTGGGAGAGGCTTCTAGGGGATTGGGAGAAGGTGTGGGGGAGTGAAGAGGCAGGCGGGAGGGGGAAGGGAGAGGAGAGCGGGGAGGAGAGTGCGGAGGAGAGTTGGGGGGAGAGTGGGGAGGAGAGTGGTAAGGAGAGTGGGGAAGTGAATGGTCAGGAGAGTGTGAAGAAGGGCTGTGAAAGTGGAAAGGAGAGTGTTAAGGGGAATGTCGAGGAAAGTGGGGAGGAGTTTGGTAAGGATAGTGGGAAGTGGAGTGGGAAGGATAGTGGGGAGGAGAGTGGGGGGGAGAGTGGTAAGGAAGTTGGGGGAAAGAGTGGGGAGGAGAGTGAGGTGGAGAGTGGGGTGGGGAGTGGGGTGGAGAGTGCTAAGGAGATCCAGAGCGAGAGTGATAAGGAGGATGGGGAGGAGAGTGGGGAGGAGAGTGGTAGGGAGAGTCGGGAGGAGACCATTAAGGAGGAGAGTGGGGAGATAATTTTTTGGGAAGAAGTAGAAGAGAAGGGAAAGAGGAAGCACAGTGACGACAGAGTTGTGAAGGGGAGTGGGGAGAGTGGTGCAGGGGACTGTGCTCTGCACTGCCTTCCGCTCAAGCCACCCGTTTGTATGGAGAGTAGTGAGAGCGGAAGAGAGAGTGCTGAAGGTAGTGTTAAGGAGAGCGGGGACGCGAGGGGTACAGAAAGTGGGGGAGAGGTTGGTGGTAAGGTTGGTGGTAAGATTGGTGGTAAGATTGGTGGTAAGATTGGTGCTAAGATTGGTGGGGAGGAGAGTTGGGGGGGGGATGGTAAGGAGGTTGAACGGGAAAGTGGGGAGGAAAGAGATAAGGAGAGTGGTGGGGAGACTGGGAAGGAGAGTGATAAGGAGAGTGGTGTGGTGAGTGATAAGGAGATTGGGGAGGAGAGCGGAGAAGAGAATGGTCAGGAGGGTGGGGAGGAGAGTGAGAATCGAGAAGTGGGAAAAGAGAAGGAAATTTGCATTCTAGTTATGCATGGGAATAGGAACTGTGTAGCAGAGGAGGAGGTAGAGAGGTGTGGGGGGGAAGGGGACAAGTGGAGTGAGGCAGGGATGACGGGTTTTGTACAGGAGAAGGATGGCCGCGGGGGAGGAGATGTGATGGAGGGGTTACGGATGAACATTGTGAAGGGTGGGGAAAGTGTTGGGGAAGGACGTTTGGTGGGCGTGGATGTGGAAGGGGGTGACGGGAGGTGGAGAATGGTTTTTGAGGGAGGAGGGGTGATGGGAGATAGAGAGGGAGCACGTTGGGGAGGGTTGGTCGAAGTGGAAGGAGGATTTGAGGGAGGTGATGCAGTGGGAGGAATGGAGGGAATGGAAGGAATGCAGACAGGGAGGGTGGTGAGCAGTGGTGATGAGGAGGGGTTGCTGGGGCATGGATGGGAGAGTGTGGGGCATGGAGGGGAGAGTGTGGGGCATGGAGGGGAGAGTGTGGGGTATGGAGGGGAGAGTGTGGGGCATGGAGGGGAGAGTGTGGGGCATGGAGGGGAGAGTGTGGGGCATGGAGGGGAGAGTGTGGGGCATGGAGGGGAGAGTGTGGGGCATGGAGGGGAGAGTGTGGGGCATGGAGGGGAGAGTGTGGGGCATGGAGGGGAGAGTGTGGGGCATGGAGGGGAGAGTGTGGGGCATGGAGGGGAGAGTGTGGGGCATGGAGGGGAGGGTGTGGAGCATGGAGGGGAGGGTGTGGAGCATGGAGGGGAGGGTGTGGGGAATGGGGAGGAGAGAGTGGGGCATGAAAGGAAGGATGTGGGACTTGAAGGGGAGAATGCACGGCATATAAAGGAGGGCATGGGGCATGAAGAGGATGTGCTGGCGGCTGGAAGTGCGATGGGCGGAGATGGCGGGGAAGCAGGAGGCATGGGTGATGATGGGATGCACATACCGGTACCAGTACACAGTGAGGATGCTGAGGAGGACGAAATAATTGTCTGGAGTGGTCTTGGAAAGGGATCTGTGTAACATGGATGGAGGAATGGGTAAGTGATGGGAAGAGGGAGGGTGGAATGGAGATAAATTCAATTTCTGGAATGGAAATGTATCAATATACGTGATATTGATATTGGGTCACCTAGTGTGCCTATTTTCTCACCGTGGTCATAATTTGGAAAGGGGAGAATTTATGTACACAGGCGGAAGAAAGGCCAGCAAGGTCTCATCGATATAAAATAGTGGTTCCATTCCATTCGTTTCCGACTGGCACACACACGCTAATAGAGAATCCGACGGACACGACACGTTGGCGTTGCCTTGTCACCTGCTGCAGGTCGTTAGAAGTCGTTATCGGCTATTCCGCTGTGGTCAAGGGGTTACTTTGCAACCTTCTTTGCCTGCTGTCACCATTCCAATGTCTGCTAGCGCGGCTCGACTCTCGTTTGCCAGCATTGCAAGGATCATTGGCAGAACTCCCCTTTCCTGCCCTCGCATTCCCCTGCGTGGCAGATTAACCCCCCTGCCTCGCGTTCCACCGACCTCAACCTGCCGTACTTTCCTCAAAATCCCTTGTTCAAGCTTGAGAAATTGGTGTGCTTGTACGTCTTCGTATAACTAGTAGGACCTTTTCACTCTCACCGAGCAGTAGGTTGTAGATAATTCATGCCATGCAGACTAGAAAATCTACGTTTTCTGCATAAAGTGTCAGACGGGTCGCAACCTGTTCGGGGCGGTTGAATCGTGAGCGACGGTTGAACGACGATGGCCTCAAAGTTAGAGATTATACGAGCCGCTATTCCTCTTATCGTTTTTATGTTACTGGTTCGACATTCCCATGGGCGGCGGTTCGTACCAGAAACAATGCAAGGGCTTCGAGACACCATGATGATACGGAACGAGGAACCGTCCATTCTCGCGGAAAATTATAGTGGCGATTCTCTCCGAGTCCCAGGTTCGTCTTCCTTCAAGCTTCTTGTAACTGATAGTGGTCTAATGCTAATCTTCGGCTTCTAATCTTCGGCTTCTAATCTTCGGCTTCTTCTTCATGCTTAGCAAGCACCCACGATAATGTCACAAGAATGGCCATATCGGGCATGAAACCAACCTTCCAGTCAATCGATACTTCTCACATGTGTTTGGGAGTTTTTTTCAATGAGAGCACCCTGCTCCCCATCCCGGTGCGCAGAAATCCACAACATGATCTCAAGGCGGTCACTCAAAGTGACTGGCAGCTCGTGGTATGCCGTGGGCTTCGCAATCGGCTCGGTTTTCATATTCATCGGACTGTTCATTCTGGCCGTGTTCATACATTCGCGGATCAAGGCATACAGGAAGGCCAAGGAGAGCTCCACTGAGACAGCGAAGACCAAGAATCTCAATGAGCCTCTTCCTGAGGCTACTAGTAAGTGTAAGCCGAACGAGAAGCATCGTTGGGGGAAGTACGAGACATATTCTTTGTTTGGCGGGGGTCACACAAAGAAGCAAGCCGCACACGAAGCACCCAGCCATTCCCTGCCACAGCAAGCGCCGGAGGCCGCAGGACCAGTGACAGCACCAGCCACTGCCGCTACCGCTACCGCTGCTGCTGCCGCTGCCGCCGCTGCTGCTGCTGCGAGAGCACAGCAGCAGCCAAATGAAGTGGGGAATGCTGACCGCGCAGGGCTACTCTACCAAGCCCAGCCTTCGGCAGTATCAGCCGGAGCTAGGGGAATGGTTGCGCTGGGAGTGGGGGGCGACGGGCAGGCGCAGGTGTGCGTGCAGTACTCACTGGCGGAGGTGGCGCAGGCGACGAACGAGTGGGCGGAGAGCAAGCGCATTGGTGGGGGCAGCTTCGGGGATGTGTACAAAGGCGTGTGCCCCCACAACCCCCAGCTCGTGTGGGCCGTGAAGCGAGCCAAGATCCTCACCAACGACTTCAAGCGAGAGGTATGGATGTGTATGGTGTGGTGCGGTTTGGTTTGGTGTGTTGTGGTGTGGTGCGGTACATGAAGCGGTTCACTGCACTGGTGTAGGATGGAGTAGACCCCCCTCAGTGGTGTGGGCCGTCAAGTGAGCCAAGTTTCTCACCAACAAGCGAGAGCTAGTAAAAGGCAAGGGAGAAGTGAAGGTGAGGAGAGTGAAAAGGAGGTAGCTCAGAGACTAGAAGGGCGGGACGGCTGCACGAGCCACCACCATGACTTTATGCTGCCAAGTTCTTACATTTTTGTTACATGCCTTTCTGTTGCGATACGGCAGGTGAATGAGATGGCAACAAAGAACCACCCGAACCTGGTGAGGCTGGTGGGGTATTGCCTGGACTTCAGCCCTGTGACAGAGCGCATGGAGCAAATTGTGATCTACGAATTCATGGCCAACGGTGACCTCGAACAGTGGATCGGCCCTTGTGAGCAGCTCTCTCATTTACATTCATCTTTTTTCATTTAGATACTCTTTGATTCTGTAATTTAACTCCCTCCAATCGTTTTCATCCGGTCTCCCTCTCTTCCCCCACTGCCACCTCAGCCGCAAAGCAGCATCTGACGATCCGGCAGCGGCTGGAGATTCTCATAGGCATGGCCCGTGGCTTGGAGTATCTTCACGAGTTTGGCATCGTGCATCGCGACATCAAACCCGCCAACATCCTCCTTGATGAGAAACTGAAGGTGAGATAGTGTGCGATTCAGTGTGAGACAAGTCAATCCCATGCACCATTATACATACTCATACGTGCTGCCTTCATACGCCCCTTACATCCTCGATGCCTGGTTGCAGGCGAAGATTGCGGACTTTGGGTTGGTGAGGCATGGGGAGGGTACATCTGTGGCTGCCACTCGAGTTATGGGAACGCCGGGCTATGTGGACCCCGCCTATTACAAGTCACAAAAAGCCACTCCCATGGCTGATGTGCACAGGTGTGTGAATGATATGAAATTAACACAGATGTAAGGTTTAATTAGATACACGGTCGACTGTTTGCAGACTTATTATATGTGCCAAGTGTTCTTTTGCCCACGATCTATGGCGGAGACCAATCATCGCCGCATTCTTCTAGCCCCTCAATCCTCCTCTCTCTCTCCTGTCGACATCCTTCTCATCGTCCTTCTTGCTCCACCTTGCCAGCTTTGGAGTGGTGATGCTGACCATTCTCACGGCACGCAAAGCTGTTTGGAACTTGGAGTCAAGCCTGGTCAACCTCAAGGCGTGGGTAAGTGATTCCTGCTGCATACAAGCTTCCCTCCCCCTCACCCGTTTTGCCTTAAAGTGCGTTCTGGTTTTGCAATCTGTGCTTGCTCATTCCGTGTGATATTCCCTTGAATCGACAGGTGGAGCCTCTAGTGGCGGCTAAGGATGTGGCAAGCTTCAAGGATCCGTACCTGGAAGCCCCAGATACCATGGTGCTGCGCCTGGCTCGCCTTGCCCTCAGCTGCACTGCCATGCCTACTGCATCCCGACCGTCTATGAGCCGAATCCTCGGAGAATTGCTCGTTATTAAGGACGAGTATTTGGGAGCAAGGGTTGACAGGATGGCAGTGCGAATTGACCAGGAGCTGGGAGGTTCAACAAATGCTGACTTCAATGTGGAGCTTGCCCGGATCGAAGGAATGCAGACTAGCAGTGCATATTCTAGCGATGCAACACGGTGATTATATTGATTCCAGGGAGAGTGCTTAAGCGGCTGAGTTTTTGGTACTTCACAGGATTGTCGAGCACATGAATGCACTTTGGCTCTCAAATGCGAGGTTATGAAAACTGCTATGCAAGAAACAAGGCTCTGGCTATTCCCGAACCGAAGGCCAATTCAACTTTATGCAATAAGGCCATGTTTGGCAAAAGCTAACACGTGGTATTACAAACACGGGCAATTGGTAACGGGTGAAGAATGGTCGAGGCTCGGTGCACAGTGTTCTATGCGCTGGGGTCTGGTGCGGTGCAAGGAAAAGTTCAACATCTAACACTACCCATTATTCAATAAGTCATCCGCTTTCAGGGTAGTGCATGCATGTCGCAAAACCCTCGGTTCCTCAAGTACTTCCGGGGGACGTTCATATATGTGTGTGTGTGTGTGTGTGTGTGTGTGTGTGTGTGTGTGTGTGTGTGTGTGTGTGTGTGTGTGTGTGTGTGTGTGTGTGTGTGTGTGTGTGTGTGTGTGTGTGTGTGTGTGTGTGTGTGTGTGTGTGTGTGTGTGTGTGTGTGTGTGTGTGTGTGTGTGTGTGTGTGTGTGTGTGTGTGTGTGTGTGTGTGTGTGTGTGTGTGTGTGTGTGTGTGTGTGTGTGTGTGTGTGTGTGTGTGTGTGTGTGTGTGTGTGTGTGTGTGTGTGTGTGTGTGTGTGTGTGTGTGTGTGTGTGTGTGTGTGTGTGTGTGTGTGTGTGTGTGTGTGTGTGTGTGTGTGTGTGTGTGTGTGTGTGTGTGTGTGTGTGTGTGTGTGTGTGTGTGTGTGTGTGTGTGTGTCTTTCCCAGGGGTGCCCTAGCCGTCTTCGGTCGGCATGTAATTGTCAAATTAGATGCATGTCATACATCTGTAGGCTGTAGTGGGGTAGCCAATATGGGGCACAACCCTATGAGGGTTTCATATTTGTACCAAACCCTGATCTAGTCAATCCATTCCTGCTACTAGATTCTAACATGGTTTCAGAGCACTAGGTCCTTAGGACCGTCTTTTTTTCCGGGCCCACCTACCTATGAGGATCTAGGATCGAGCCCAGAAAAGAGAGTTTGAATTGAATGATTCACCTGGGTACAACACGAGGCTATATATAGTCTCGACACAAGGCAGGTAACCCAGGTGCTACGCGAATGTTCTGAGGGTCGCGAAGCGCCCTGAACGGAACCTTCCCGAACCCAGTAGAAAGCAATTCGGTGGAAACCGAATAGGCTTGAGTTCAGTACACGTAACCTGGTTCGGTGCTATAACTATAATAAAATATAGGAATGTAGCAAACCTAGGAAATGAAGCATATCTATGCAGGATAAAATAAACTTTAGCTAGATATAGCATAATAAAGTCTAGGCAAGCTAGCAAAGCCAGCATAAGCCGTCGTACTCTCACACGTCCCCCCCTCAAAGCTGGGTGGCGTGAAAAACACCGTGCTTGACAAGATAGGCCTTGAGAGCACGGCGTGCGTTGCCCATATCAGCTTCTGCAACCCAACTGTCCTCAGTGGGGTCGTATCCCTTCCAACGTATCAGGAACTCGAGGGTCCTGTCGCCGCAGCGCCGATGAGTGAGAACGTGCTCCACTACATACTCAGGTTCTTCCCGTATGAGAACAGATGGTGGTGGCGGTACCAGTTGCCGTCCCTGGAACTGTCGGTTGGGGTCCTTCTAGGGTTTCAGTAGTTGGACATGGAAAGCGTTGTGAAGCTTCCACGTATCTGGTAAGCGCAAGCGGAATGTTACTAGTGTCACCTGTGCCTCAACGAGAAAAGGACCACAGAAGCGAGGCCGGAGCTTGGATGGTAGGTGAGACAGGTTCAAGTTGCGCACGTCAAGAAGCACCTGATCTGCGATTGCTACTGAGTGATCTCGTCGCTGACGATCGGCATACTGTCTTCTGGGAGGTCTGCATCATGGTGAGTCGTCGCTGAGTCTTCTCCCATACCTGCTGCATGGTGGTGACGAGTAGAGGCTGAAGTAACCATGCTTTTTTCCGCTTGCTGCTCTTCATCCGCTGGCACGTGTCGCAAGAGGTGACGAACTGCTGCACGCGTGCTGCCATCCCGGGCCAATAGTAATACTTTGCTATCCCTGCTAACGTCTTGTTGCTCCCGAAATGTCCCGCGTATGGTACGTCGTGAAACTCCTCCAATAGGATCTGCCGTAGCGGGGCGTAATTCGGTACCCAAATCTTCCCTGAACCCTTCCTTACAGCTAGGTCTTTCTCCCACTGTAATAGCTTCTTGGTCTGTGCTTTCGCTCTCTTTGCATCCACGGAGTACCCATATTGGAATAGACCCTTGAGCAGATGGTTCATCCCGTCGAGCTGAATGTCTGCTACATGACCGGGGCGGCTCAACGCGTCTGCTTTGTTGTATAGCCCAGGCTTGTAGACGATGTCGTAGTGGAAGTGAGTTTCCAGGAAGTCCATCCACCGCACCTGTCGTCGCGAGAATGTCGGCTGTGACTTCAGGTATTTGAGACTGCATTGGTCAGTATAGACTGTGGTCTTGGCTCCCTCTAGGTAACACCTCCACGCCTTGAAGGCTATGACTATAACTAAGGCTTCCTTGTCATGGATGGGATAGTTCAATTCTGCTCCATGTAGTTTCTTACTGAGGAAGGTGATGGGCTGCAAACCGCGTCCGTGATCCTGCATTAGTACTTCTCCGACTTCTTGATCACTAGCGTCTGCTTCCACCATGTAGTCCTTGTCTGGATCTGGTAGGATGAGTACTGGCGCTGTAGTGAGTGCTGTCTGTAGCTGCTCCATGGCTTGCTGATGAGGACATCCCATTTGTAGGGCGTATCCTTTTTCAGTAGGTCGGTCAGTGGCGCTGCTCTCTTAGTATACTGCGGCACGAACGTGTTGTAATAGTTGGCGAAGCCTAGGAATTGCTGCAACTCCTTCACGTTCTCCGGTAATTTCCACTTCTTAACGACTTCGATCTTCCGCAGGTCCACGTGTACGCCCTCGGCACTCACCATGTGCCCCAGAAAGTGCACCTTCTTCAGGGCGAATTTGCTCTTCGAGAGCTTCACGTAGAACTTGTTTTTCCGCAGGATCTCAAACATCTTCTGCAGATGCTCCACGTGCTCCTTCATGTTCTTGGAGTAGATGAGAATGTCGTCCAAGTACACCACTACACACTCGTAGCAGTGGTCGTAAGATGTGATTCATCTCCGCCTGAAACATTGCTGGTGCGTTGCAGAGTCCGAACGGCATCACCGAGTATTCGTAGGAGCCGTTTCTGGTACGGAACGCCGTCTTGTGGATCGAGTTGTCTGCCATCTTGATCTGCCAGTAACCCGACCGTAGGTCCAGCTTCGAAAAGATTGTTGCACCACGCAGTTGGTCTAGAAGATCGTCTATGTGTGGTATGGGATATTTGTTTTTTTTTCTGTCTGTTTGTTCAGTGCGCCGTAGTCGATGCATATCCGTAAACTGCCGTCTGATTTTGGACTGAAGAGGACTGGTGCCCCGTAGGGAGAGGTGGATGGACGGATCAGCTATCTGTCCAGTAGATACTCTATCTGCTTCTTCATGTCATTCACTTCGGTCTGACTTAGTCGGTATGGTGCATGTGAGACAGGTTTCGCACCTGGTTCCTCCGCGATCTCGTGCTCGTGGGTGCATGCTGGAGGTACGCGTGCAGGTAGGTCGTCGAGCATTATATCTTTGTACTGCTTGAAGACCTCCTTCACTGCTACAGGAAGCTCCGAACTCGGCTCCTCCCCCTCCTCTGCTGCTGCCATAACCAGTGCTAAGTAACCCGTGTTACTCTTTTACTGTCTGTTCGAACCATGCCAGTGTCGTTTCAGGAACGTTCCCTGTATCCGTCTAGCTTCGCAGCTCCACTCGTTTCCCGTTGTTGTAGATGCACGCCTTCCTTTTAACCCAGTCTGTCTCTGGGTTGAACCGCTTCAAGAAATCTCGCCCCAAGATGAAATCTAAACCCTTGATGTTTGTGATCGGCAATGTCGGCTTCCACCTCAGTGCCTCTATGTGTAGGTGCAGTGATGCTTCGTCGTGGATGGGAAGTTTCGTGCCGTCCACCATCGTTGCCATGAACTTGGTCTCTTCCGAAGATTCTCCAATTTTCTCCAACGTCCCGCGTTCGCACACCGAGTGAGACGCATCGCTGTCCACAAGTGCCTGGAGGCATCGCCCGTTAAAAATCACCTCGAGAAGTAGTGGTTGTTGCTGCTCCGAGTAACCGTGGATGGTCTCGCTGATAGGATCATAGGGTACGTCGAATAGATCATCCCTCGGTCCTTCGCTTGAAGCTGGTGACTCCATATCAGTTTTCAACTGAGTTGGGTGAGAAGGATTTATCCGAAGCCGATTCAGCTTCGTCTTGGCCTGGAACATTCCCTTAAGCCTTGGTAGCTGTGTAGGCTTCACCTGTGGGCAATAGGGAGCCTTAACACCATGCTGTGGGGAGAGAATATTTACTCATCGGAACGCACGACCCATTTCAATGCTCCGGAGTGGTTTGCCCAAATTCTCAAGTACCTGAAGATTGTCTAAAGACTTTTTCTTCGCCTTGAAATCTCCCTTGAATTTTTTTAAAGGCTTGAGAACCTCGAGAGGAACTATTCTTACCCTCGGGGGTGTTCGGCTGGAGTTTTCTGTCAAACATTATATATGTTGTTGTGTTTGTTTAGGCTACAGTGGGTTAGCCTATAGGGGGTACACAATTCTAGGGTTAGGTACTTGTATTGTTTTCACAGTAAGTTCATTCATTCCTGTTCAGTTATTCCAACATGGTATAGAGCAGGTCCTTCCTAGGACCGAAATTTTTAAAGGCCCCCCACTGCCTACCTACCTACCTACTTGCGCCCTAGGGCGCCTCGGCTTTGTCACGCCCCTAGAGGCCCCCCCTTGACGGCCCCGCACTTACCTACCTAGCGGCCCCGTCGGCCCCGCGCTAGCCCCGTTCAGGCCCCGTCGGCCCCGTTCAGGCCCCGTCGGCCCCACGCCCGCTGT